AAGTCGACCGTTGCCGTTTTAGACGATTGATTCGAACTTATACGAAAAAAAACAAGTCTTTGCGGTTTTTATCGTAAAATCTCAATGGAAACTCCGATTAAGACAAAACAAAAATCAGCACGATCAAAACTCGAGAGAGAAACTCGAGGAGTGGTTCAGCTCGCCATAGGGCGAGGAGGATGATCCCTCTCAGCTCGCCATATGGCGAGCTGGTGCAGACAGTCTCGATTGGTCGAGTTGACTTGTTTTCGTCATAAAATCTCAACAGAAAGTCCAATTGAGACGAAACGAAAAGTTGTACAATCAAGACTGGAGAGAGAAGCTCGAGGAGTGTTTCAGCTCGCCATAGCGCGAGCTGGATGAGCCCTATCAGCTTGCCATACGGGGAGCTGGTGCGGACAGTCTCGATTCGTCGAGTTGACTTGTTTTCGTCGTAAAATCTCAACGGAAAGTTCGATTGAGACGAAACGACAAGCTGTACGATCAAGACTGGAGAGAGAAGTTAGAGGAGTGTTTCAGCTCGCCATAGGGAGATCTGGATGAGCCCTCTCAGCTCGCCATACGGCGAGCAGGTGCGGACAGTCTTGATTTGTCGAATTGACTTGTTTTCGTCGTAAAATCTTAGCGAAAATTTCGATTGAGAGGAAACGAAAATCTGTACGATCGAGACTGGAGTATGATCAGCTTGGGATACTGAGAGTCTTTTCCAACTCGTCATTGGGCGAGTTGGACGTTCGTTTCTAATTTTCTGTGCCACCTTTTTCCCGCGAGTAACCTAGGGTTTTTTCCGCAGTTTCTAAGAGAGCAAGTTTAATTTTTCCGAAAAGTTGTTGGAAAATATCTTTTGGTCAAACCCTCACACATTGAGATTTCTCTGATTTGGCGGGGTTTGATAGGTTTTATCATTGCCGTTTTGTTTAGACGGAGACATTGCAAGCTCGTTTCGTGCTCCTTCCGTGGTGAAGAGTCGTGATTAGGTTTTCGATTTTGTTAAGTACTACAGCGTTGGCTATAGGAGTAGTCGCTGCTGGAGTTGCTTTACCAGTGTTTTTGCGAGTTGTGAATTTGTCTTTCATATATCCAGACATCATTCTGATCAAGCGTTTTGCGGCTATGAGTAAGAGTAATCCGACCCCCCCCCTCCTTCTAGCGCCAAACTGTGGGAACTGAAATTCACCCCTGTCGATTTTACGTAAATTTAGGAACTTAGAGAAAACCCTAATTTCCCAGAGGACCCGGATCTCTGTGAGAGCCAACGACAAGTAACCAAATAAATTCGGAAAATATGAAAAACATGATAAAACGAGTTTATAAAGAAAGTTGATCTTATTTCGAATTCGCGTAAGAGCGTTGCGATCTTTACAAAAGATTACAAAGGCTTTGGCCGCAGGGGCCGTCAGAGAGTTTCCTAGTTCTAGCAACATAAATCCCTAAACCTAGTTGAGTCGCAGCTCGATAACAAAAGACGAAAAAGATAAGAAAAAAGGGTTTTGATTGATTTCGGACTGAACCTTATGAAAGGCTGCCTACGTACCCCTTTCAAAGATCAAGTCGAACGTAGTTCAATTGATAGAGCTAGATAAGAGATCAAACTGTCAGGCGAGTTCGTCTAGTAATTGAGCGCCAGTCATAGAAACCGAACTTGTCGAGAATAAAGCCTAAGTTTCTAAGTGCGGAAAATTCTAATTCTAGAAAAGTTATAAAAGTCTCAGATGAGAGCTCTGAAAATCGTCCCCCTGCTATGTCCTTGCCCTTCTACTTATATACTCCCCCCTTAGGCAGTTTAGTCCTTCCTTTTCGCCCAGATTCGAGTTTATCAGGAATCTTCCATTTATTTCGATCTTTCCATTTTCCTTGCGGAAATCTTCTATTTATCTTTAAACTTGACAAGTATCTTTAAAATTGACATTTATCTTCTTTCTGCGAGTAAATCGTCAAACCGTCATTGTATCTTTGGGCTGGACTGCGTTTAAAGTCGCGAGTGGAATTTTATCGCGTTTTAGGACTGTCCGAGCCGTTTTGCGATAAGAACCGTTTTACGATTTTTAGACGAGATCATTTCCTGATACGATTCCGTTTCTATAAGATTTCTCGACTTAATCGTATAATTTGATAATGTACGATGTTCCGTGTAATCGTTGCCGTTTTATATGATCTTCCCCAATTCTTACGAGAAAAGAAGACTTTTACAATTTTTATCGTAAAACTCGAATGGTGAGACGGATCGAGATGAAACAAGAGACGTTTCAACCATGGTTTAGAGCATGATCGAATCGAAGGACGTATGGCTTACGTCAAAGATGCGGGGGAGCAAGGCTCAGGACGGTCAGCTCGACGTACAGCGAGCCAAACCGGGTTGGTTCAGCTCGCCGTACGGCGACCTGGTCCGGGACGATGCAGTTTTTTGCGGTTTTTGCTTAACTTAGGCAATCATGTAATCGGCGATTGTTTCATTCGTTCTTCTGAGATGACAATTTCCAAGTTTTCCGCGGATTTCCTTTGTTCGGAAAATCCTTAAAATTTTATAAAACAACTTCTCGTGTTTTATAAAACGTTTTTTTATTTTTGCGGAGACTTTTAGCCATTGATTCCGTCATGACCGATTTTGACACCAACATTATCAAAGACCAGTTCAATTTGAAATGAAATTGAAGTTTTGGTTTAAACCTAAACTAATCATCTAACAACAGGAAGAATCTAGATCCAAACCAAACAAACCCCCAAAAGTCTCAAGTCCATCTTAAAACTCACAGAGAACAGAGAAAACATAACTAAAAGACGTTACCTTTCATCTATCTCAGCTCTCTGAAAATGAGTTATTCCTCCATGGCTGCCATGTTAAAGCAGCCATGGCCACTGTCTCTTCGTCACCCTCCTCATCTAACCCTAATTTTCCTCTCCTTGATTCTTCTTCTCTTTCCTTAGCGTTCCTTCTCTCAATCCAATTCTCCACAAAACATCAAAACTTTCTTTCCAGATGACACCCTCACCGCTCCGCCTCCCTCTCTGATTCCTCTCCCGCAGAAAAATCCACCACCATCATCAGACAAAGAAAAGATCACAAGGGCTATACTCATAACAGTGGCAAGCACTTTACTCGTAGCAGCCGTTTTCTTCTTCTTCGTCCATCTCTACACAGTCCAGCGTCAATTGAGAGATAGAGTCAACGTCGTGAACACTCTTCTTCCGGCTCCTCTGCTGGCAGACGCAGCGTTAGCTCGTGAGGGGTTCACGAGATTCGGCGGAAACGTCAAAAGATTGATCTTGGACGAGAAAGAGAGAAAAAATAAAAATAAAAATAAAGATAGAAGCTTTTGTGGTATGACACATGGTTGAAACCCCCACTTAAAACACGGCTTAAAAACTTAAGTTACGGATCGGTAATCCTATTTTTATTTTCTTTTGATTTAAGTAAATAAATAAAGTTCAAAATATCACCCAATCCAAATTTTTGTCTCCAAACTAGTACTCAAGGCCAAAAGTCACAAAATAGGTGTCATTAAAGGATGATTTATCCTTATGTCCATTATTTGACTAATTAAAAAATGATAGATTAATTGGATGATTTATTCTTATGCCACTTCTTTGACTTATTTACTCTAAAATCTTAAACTATGAAAATTCAACCCTAAACCCTAAACTCTGAAACATCAATTTTAGGACCCTAAACATTAAAACTTCAAATTTAAACCCTAAACTCTGAAACATCAATTCTAGAACCAAAAACCTTGAAACTTCAAATTTAAACTATAAACCTTAAAACATCAATTCTAAAACATAATCACTAAAACTTCAACTCTAAACCCTAACCCTGAAACTTCAACTCTAAACCGTAACCCTGAAACTTCAACTCTAAACCCTAAACTCTGAAACATCAATTTCAATAAACCCTAAAACCTGAAACTTCAACTCTAAACCCTAAACTCTGAAACATCAATTTCAATAAACCCTAAAACCTGAAACTTCAACTCTAAACTCTGAAACATCAACTCTAAAACCTTAAACCCTAAAACTTCAAATCTAAACTCTAAATCCTAAAACATCACCTCTAAAACCCTAAACCCTGATGTTTTACCGCTAAACCTCTGAAACATCAACTCTAAAACTCTAAACCCTGAAACTTCAACTCTAAACCCTGAAACATCAACTCTAAGACCCTAAACCCTGAAACTTCAACTTTTAACCCTAAACCTTAAAAATCCAACTCTAAAACCCTAAACCCTGAAACTTCAACTCTAAACCCTGAAACATCAACTCTAAGACCCTGAACCCTGAAACTTCAACTTTTAACCCTAAACCTTAAAAATCCAACTCTAAAACCCTAAACCCTGAAACTTCAACTCTAAACCCTGAAACTTCAACTCTAAACCCTGAAACTTTAACTCTAAACCCTAAACCTTGAAAATCCAACTCTAAAATCCTAAACCCTGAAACTTCATCTCTAAACCCTGAAACATCAGTTCTAGAACCCTAAATCTTGAAACTTCAACTTTAAACCCTAAACCCTAAAAAATCAATTCTAAACCCTGAAGCTTCAACTCTAAAACTTAATCCTGAAATTTCAATTCTAAACCCTAAACACTAAAACATCAACTCTAAAACCCTACACCCTAAAACTTCAACTCTGAACTTTAAACCCTAAAACTTCAACTCTAAACATTGAAACATCAATTCTAGAACTCTAAACTCTGAAACATTAAATCTAAAATCCTAATTATTCAAACTTCAACTTTAAACCCTAAAACTTAAAACTTCAACTCTAAACCCTGAAACATCAATTCTAGAACCCTAAACATTGAAACGTCAGCTCTAAACTCTAAACCCCAAAACTTAAACTATAAACCCTAAATCCTGAAACATAAATTTAAACCCTAAATCTAAACCCTAAACCCTCAACTTTAACCCTTAATCCCTAAACCCTATATTTTTTTGAAATTCAAATCCTAAACCCCAAAACCCTTAATATATTAAAATACGGATCATATATTAATGTTCATGATATGCTTCACGGTAATGTATTGTAAGATTTGGAAAGCCTTGAGCGTGTTCATGATGGGCTTCCGGATAATATATTAGTCTTCGTGATAATGTATTATAAAATTTGGAAAGCCTTGAGCGTGTTCAGGATGGACTTCCAGATAATATATTAATCTTCAAGATAATGTATTATAAAATTTGGAAAGCCTTGAGCGTGTTCAGGATGGACTTCCTGATAATATATTAATTTTGAGGATAATGTATTATAAAATTTGGAAAGCCTTGAGCGTGTTCAGGATGAGCTTCCGGAAAATATATTAATCTTCAAGATAATGTATTATAAATATTGGAAAGCCTTAAGCGTGTTCAGGATGGGCTTCCTGATAATATATTAATATTTAGGATATGATTTAAGGTTTAAGGTTTAGAGTTTAGGGTTTAGAGTTGATGTTTTAGGGTTTAAGGGTTTAGAGTTTAGTATATTAATCTTCAGGATAATTTATTCTAAAATTTGGAAAGCCTTGAGCGTGTTCAGGATGGATTTCTGGATTGAAGATATTTAGAGTTGATAGTAAGAGATTGAGGTTTTAGGGTTTAGGATTTTTTTTATATTGATATGTAGGGGTATCCAAAAATTTTATCTTAATAAAAATGTCATTTTTGTGATTTTCAACTTGAGGTGCTACTTTTGAGATAAAAACTAAAAAATGTGCTATTTTGGAGAATTGCCCTTAATTAAATGAGTTATTTAAAAAAAAAACCCCCACTTAGGACTCAGCAATAAACATGGTCTAGGAAGAATAGCTATAATTATCTTTCCTTTTTTATTATTAAGTGTTAAATTTGTGAGTCATTGCAATGGATAAAAAGTGTGGCTTCAGGGTAAATTTCTTAGACATCTGGGGTTTCAGATTTTAATCCTGATTTATAGACCAACCATTTTTCTATGCTAAGATCGGTTCGGATCAAATATCTCAAAGTAAAAAGTAGTAATAGGGAAATAAATATTCTGTATATGTCTTCACACAATTCAAACTACACATGATGCATCATACAATATCATTGGCACAATGCTATGTTCAAATTTGTGCCGTTTGTTTCGATTTTCTTCGCACTTTTAATCCATATATTAACCAAACTGAAACTATATCTTATTTGATGAAATAGATAGCTTCCATCTGAATCCAACTTGTTAATAGTCTACTAAACTTACATGAATTTCAAGAAGTACTCATTATGTTCCGGTTAGCTTAAACGGATCTAATAAATGATTGTAACAGGCTTTTCGATGGGTTTAATGGGCTTCTTAAAGCCCTTTGGGGTTTAAAAGACTTCAGTTGCATAATAAAAGCCTTTTTCTTACTTTTGAGTTTGGTCTCAAACCCTAACTGTGATCTCCGCCGTCGAACATCCACCATTGGTCGTGTTATCAGAGCTCAATGTAAGGGAGCTGGCTCCGTCTTCAAATCTCACACTCACCACCACAAAGTCCCCGCCAAGTTCCATAGCCTCGACTATGGCGAGAGAAATGGATACCTCAAGGGTGTCATGACGGAGATCATCCACGATCCTGGCCGTGGTGCGCCGCTTGCTCGCGTTGCCTTCCGTCGCCCTTTCCGTTACAAGAAGCAGAAGGAGCTATTTGTCGCTGCCAAAGGTATGTACACCAGACAGTTGTTGTACTGCAGTAAGAAAGCGACACTTGTTGTCGAAAATGTTCTCCCGCTTAGAGCTATCCCTGAAGAAGCTGTTGTCTGTAACGCCGAGCATCATGTCGGTGATCGCGGTGTGCTCGCTAGAGCTTCAGGAGATTACGGTATGGTTGTTCCATGGACGGCCTTGAGATTTTGGGAGGCTTGTGGCACTTTCTATGTAAAAAAAAATTTGCGGGCCTAAATTTTTTTTTTTTGGATTCTTAGAGCAATATTAATACAACAACTTAATTAGGGGTGCTTATTCTTTGTTTAATAATTTTTAGTTGGAAAAGTGATTTAAGAACCAAGGCTAAGAACCCGAACATTTATTTGCCTTCAATGCAAGTTGCTTATTTTGGGTTTTTAAAAAAAATATTAAACATTTTTTTTATTTAAGATAAATTTTATTTTTTATATAAGACATATTAAAAGATTACATTTAAAATATAGAATTTAAAATAAAAACATAAAAACAAAGATTAGTAAAATAATCGAAAAAAAGTTTGAAAAAAACATCTGAGCTCAAGTGTCGTCTTTATCACGTCCTAATTTACACCATACATGTTGAACCAAATCAGGTTTCAGTTGTTCATGCATTTGTCTATCATGAATTCTAGTTCGAACACTCATCATATTGGCGATATTTGAAGGGATATCTGTAGAATACGTGAGATCGACATGTGAACTTCTGGTGTCTTCTCCTTGTTGGAACTCTGAAAGATCATATTGAGTGTATCCATCTCGTTCGTCTTCTACTGTCATATTATCGAGTATGATACATGCTCTCATAATCTTCCCAATTTTGACTTTATCCCAAAAAAGTGCTGGATTTTTAACGATGGCAAAGCGAGCTTTTTTTTTGGCAAAGCGAGCTTGCAAGACTCTGAAAGCCCGCTCGACATCTTTTTGGACAGCTTCTTGACGTTGAACAAAGAAAATTGCTTGCGGGACTTGTGTATTGGAATAGATTGGATAAAATTTACCCATTTTGGGTTAATACCATCGGTGAGATAGTAAGCCAAATGATACTCTCTTCCATTGACGGAGTAAGTGACTTGCGGAGCTTGACCATTTATTATGTCATCAAAAACTGGTGGGCGATCAAGAACATTGATATCATTTAAGGTATCTGGAGGTACAAAAAATGCATTCCATATCCAGAGATTATATGAAGCAACCGCCTCTAAAACGATTGTTGGCTTTCCCAATCCACGAGAATATTGCCCTTTCCAAGCGGATGAACAATTCTTCCACTCCCAATGCATACAATTGATGCTTCCTATCATCTCGGAAAATCCACGATACTCTCCAGTATCAAGTAGACGTTGAAGATCAGCCGGTGTTGGTCTTCTAAGGTACTCATCACCGAACAAATTAATTATTCCCTCCACAAAATGCTCAAAACATGACCGAGTTGTCGTTTCAGTGAGCCGGAGGTATTCATCCACCGTATCAGCTGCACTACCATATGCCAAGACACGAATCGCTGTTGTACACTTTTGGAGTGGTGAGAGACTCTGTCTTCCAAGACCATCATTCTTTTGGCAAAAGAAGTCTACTTCGTTGGAGAGTCGATCCACAATGTCCATGAACAACATCTTGTTCATTCTACCAAGGGCTTTTGCGCCTTAACACTAATGGGGCGAGTAGTTCCTTCATCTTGTAAAGCAGTATCCCCTTGAGAACTTGCTGAACTGTCCTCACACTTTCTCTTTTTGGAGCTGATATCATTTTTAGACGTAGACAGCTCAGTCCACTTCTGGTCATTTTGTAACTCTTTCCAAGCATGGAGAAGGGTAAACTTTTTGTTATGGTTTTTGAAGAAGATCTCTAGGGCTAGTTGAATCACACCATTTTCATTATGCCCACTGGTTTTCACTCTATTTGCAGCTTTATATGCTCCACAAAACTTGCAAACAATGTCATTGATCTTGCGCCAACGATTCTTACAATGAGTTGCCTCTCTCTTCTCACACCCAGCTGGCTTAGGACTAGCATTGTGATACGCACTAATTCTTGACCAGAATGCAACTATGGTATCTTTGCTACTGTTTAACCATGAGCTTATGAGCACTAGTGGGAGTCCACGTCCTTCTTTCTTACGAATGGCTTCAGTCTCTGCACCAAAGTTTGACTCTCCGGGAGCTTGCGAATGAGAGAAGTGAACGTTTTGTTGACTGTTAAGTAAGTCAACAAAGTTTGAGGAGTCGCTATATGGATTAAAATCCCTTTCCAAAAGTCAGAGAAGAAAGAAATATCAGATAGGAATCTTGTAACATCCCGAGTTGTGATATATGAAAAGGCTTAAGAGGATTGATTTGACTACCTATGTCACTAAAGTGCACTTACCTTTTCGAGAGCACATCCAGAGAGAACTCCAGAGTTAAGCGTGCTTGAGCTGGAGTAGTCAAAGGATGGGTGACCTATCGGGAAGTGATTTGCGATACCGTGTAAGTGAGGCCAAAGCACGGGGAAAAGTCATGTGGTGATTGAAGGGTCAGTAAACATGACTCTAGAGCTTTGAAAAATTAACGGTCCGGCCGTTGGAACTAGATTGGCCCACGGGCCGAGAGAGCGGACGTGGGTGGCCCATTAGCTGTGGGCGGTCGGGCGTTACAAGTGGTATCAGAGCTGGTTAGCCATCTCAGTTCTGACCTGAGAGGCGTCTTGAGACCTATCGTGGAGCGCAACGAGGACGTTGCGTTCTTTGAGAGGGGGTGAATTGTAACATCCCGAGTTGTGATATATGAAAAGGCTTAAGAGGATTGATTTGACTACCTATGTCACCAAAGTGCACTTACCTTTTTCGGGAGCACATCCAGAGAGAACTCCAGAGTTAAGCGTGCTTGAGCTGGAGTAGTCAAAGGATGGGTGACCTATCGGGAAGTGATTTGCGATACCGTGTAAGTGAGGCCAAAGCACGGGGAAAGGTCATGTGGTGATTGCAGGGTCAGTAAACATGACTCTAGAGCTTTGGAAAATTAACGGCCCAGCCGTTGGAACGGGATGGTCCCACGGGCCGAGAGAGCGGACGTGGGTGACCCATTAGCTGTGGGCGGTCGGGACGTTACAAATCTGTTGTAGTTGGAAGAGAAGGCAAGAGTTTTAAAGAAGGGGTGCACACTCGCATTCAACACTCAAACCAACCAAAAAAACAAACAAATTTGACTTAGACATCTATCTACCTTGTATTAATTACTCTATCAAACACTAAGCAAACAATTGATTATCCAAAAAGTAATTCATTTAACTCAACCACTTCTGTTTTAATTTTGACAGAGATAGTGAGTTCTATTTATTACCAACCTAACTTAACCATAGAGCATTCACTGAGATTCTATGTTCAATTCAAACCCTAACCTGCCGCCAAGGCTGATTCGTCTCAGAGGTCAAGCTGCTGCTCCTGCCGCCAAGGCTGATTAGGTTTTATTAAGATATATTTGTACTTTTGCTTTGTTTCCTTTTGGACTTTGTTGCGTTCGGAAATCTCAAAGATTTTGTTATAATCTTTGTAACACTTCTCGTGTGTGAGGTTTTGTTACTTACTGGTAATTTGATTCATGTGTGAACACATGTCAACCGGTTAGGTCATGACAATGACCGATTTGCACAGCGTAGGAGCGTTCAAGCCAAAGCTCTCTTGTGCAGATCCAGATAAGATGGTACCAAGACGCAATATATCTAAATTCCACAATACAAAATAAAAGAGAACAAAAACTAAAAGACACCACTTAAGGAAAAAGATGAAGATGACAAATAGGATGATTCCTTCAATCACAAACATCAGGGCTCGTTCTTGGGCGTTATGTTAATTTTGTTTTGTGTTTTCAAGAATATGTAGTTCTAAGCATATTAGCAAAATCCATCCCCTCCTTGTTCTCACCAGTTTGATCATTAGTGACTCTTGATGAAGATCCACGTTAAAGCTGACCATCAAATCCCATTTTATCTCTTGCTGTATCATGTTTAGCTGAAAAGAAGAACACACAATGGACCTCACTTTACCTAGCATGTGAGACTTATCTCCAAGCTTCTCATAATCCGTTAACCTTTTATCATTTTCTATCAAAAGAAGCTGTCTACAGTTTATAGGACTTGAGATATATAGTAGGCATGCGTTACTACTTAAATCAACACTTGTTTAATTATATAACTAAGAAGAAATTGAGTAGAATAGAGTACAGATTATGAGGCTGGTTTTACAATATTTGAATTGCTAATTGGATTATCTAGCTTGTGGTAGCATATTCAGATCAGTGTTTCCATCAAGTAGAATCTCCTGAAAACGGAGTGTTTTGCAAGAGTCTCAGAAATGTAATAATAACCTACTTGAGCAAGGAACTAGGAAAAAAATAGAAACTCACATTAGATGCATCTGTGTCTTACCCAAAATCAAGTCTTCCATCAACCTGTGATAAGATAAGGGAGACATCAGATCGTTGTGTGACATTGTACCGTTCATGGCCTTTCCTCTTTCACATGTCTTGTTGAGAAATAAGTACTCATTGAATATTATTTTTGTAATTTTCTTTCTTGTGTGTTATCTTGTGATAAAATTATTTATGTGCTATTTTGGTGAAAATCACTCATAGCTGATTTGCTTATATCTTCGCCATTGTTTAAAATATATAGTTTCTTGCTTGATATATCTATAGTGCTGGTAAATCCTACTAACGTGTCCTACCATCACCAATGTTTAGAATCTATACAAATGTTTAGTAAAGCTATATTTGATGCTCCTAAATTGTTCTAGTTATTATATTATTGATTTCAGTCACAAGCCGATGACGAAACATTATTTTGTTAAACTCATTTCACAAATTTCAAACATTATTTTGTTAATCTTCCAACAACTATATTCTCTAACAGACCATTAATTTACTAAAAAAACCTATAAACACATAATTTAAACCGAATAAAACCAATTCGAATTAAACCGAAACGAACTGAATTACCTTTTTGTGTTGTCATGTAAAGATGCTTCTGAAAGAAAAAGAGAGCCGCACACTTTAACCTGTCAGACATATTTATATCGGGAAAGAAAGAAAGAAAAGAAAGATTCCGTCTTTTCGATAGATCGATCGCCACCACAGCAAGCACCGGAAGAAGATGGCGTCGAGAGACCAAGTTAAGGCGTCGCACATCCTGATCAAGCATCAAGGATCTCGTAGGAAGGCGTCGTGGAAGGATCCAGAAGGTAAGATCATTATGACCACTACCAGAGAAGCAGCCGTGGAACAGCTTAAATCGATCCGTGAAGACATCCTCTCTGGCAAAGCCAACTTCGAGGATGTCGCAACTCGCGTTTCCGACTGTAGCTCCGCCAAACGCGGCGGCGATCTAGGTTTGTTGTTCTCGTCTCACATCTATTGTTCGTGTGCTTTATTGTGTAGTAAAAGATCAGCGAGTTTAGGTCTGAGATGATTATATTTGTAGTTAATCAGGAATTCAGGAGAGTTGATTCTCATATATATCACTGACTGTTGTATATGCTTAGATCATAACTGTCAATAAGAATTTGAAGTTTATGAATATGTAATTGGTGCTTATCACTGCTTAGATCATCATCACCTCTGTGAAAGTTTATTTTCTTGATGAATTTCTATCTATATTATCTTATGCTTAAATTAAGTGTTGGATGTTTGATTGTGTACGAACGTGTGTTCAGGTCCCTTTGGTAGAGGTCAAATGCAGAAACCGTTTGAGGAGGCAACATACGCACTGAAGGTGGGTGATATAAGCGAGATTGTGGATACAGACAGTGGAGTTCATATCATAAAGAGAACAGCTTGATCTCTCATCTCCTTTCCTCCAAAGGCTTATCATGTATCAGAAATGACCAGCTTCTCCTTTTCTTTTCCTTGTCTTTTTGAGCAAAAATGAAATTATAATAAGAAGCTTTGATATTGTGGTTTTATTCATCGTGGATTTTATACAAGCAAACATATAATAATAAAAGCAGATATTGTATCTCAGTTTTTTGACAAAAGATAAAAAATCTCAGTTTTTAATATAATTTTCATAATAGCATATTTCTATTGCTGACTTTGACTTGTATTATCGTTTTTGGTTTCTGTGTGGGATATCTCTATAAACAAGCGTGGGTAACTACTCTCTGATTCACGGCTAAAGTCTAACTATTAAAAGAAAAACACACACATTTACTAGAGAGATAATGATTTGTTTTGATAGGTATGTGAATATCATTTAAAATGAAAGGAGTTAGACATGTACAACAGTTAATCGGATAAGTCAATTGTTGCCAAAAACAGATTAAAAAACAATGGATTTTTACAAGTTGATGAATGATGATCAACTTACCAGCTAGCAGCTAAGTATGCTTTAGTCATACAGGAAATATCTTCTTTAAGAGCTTATAAGACCTTCTTGTATAAATAATGCTTCGGATCTGTCTGTCAATGATCTTGAAGACTACCTGAGAAGTGGAAGCAACAACATAGTGTAACCTCCCATTTTTGTCAAACCAGAGGTGATAGATCGTGGCCTGCACTACAAGACGCTTCAGATTGGTAGTGCAGTTTCTACCATTGGTTTCAAGCCAGTGTATAAGTGATGTTCATGTATGGGCTGTAGCCGAGTGCTGTTCCTGGTGATTAATTACATAAGCAACATGCTTTGTTAATCTGCATTTCCCAAGACATTAGACAATTTTGTGTTGGAAATGTATCAAGGTGTGCCACCCACATGAAGAAAGCATGACTCGATATATTCCCTTCAAACGAAACATTGCGGGACCAGCCTTGTTTCAGACCCCTATTCCAAAGAGCTTCGTAGGTAAAGATAGCTAAAATAGACTTAAAGATAGTATCTCCAAACATATAAGTCTTGAGTCGAGGATAGGGAGGGCAGAGGAATAGAACATAGCATAATGTGAATTTGCTTTGATGCTTGAGATCTTGCAGTTCAGAGATTCCATCCGTGAGAGGGGCAAGATGATGTGACCATAGCAGTGATAAGGATTCTAATGCAGCAAGATATTTGGAAATTATTTGTATATATAGATAATTACTAGGTGATTTCCCGTGCTCATGCACGGGTATAAATATTCATAAAAGTAACATTTTATAATAATTGATTGATATTTAGTTTTAATTTTGAATAAATTTGTATGTATAATTTATATTAATAAATATTATATTATTTTATACATATGACTTTGGATATATTATTATCGGTTTAATTATTTTTTGGATCAACAGTCGGTATGGTTATAAATTCGGTATATTGGATAATATCTATTTTTCGAATTCAGCTATAATATTTTAATTCTAAATATAATAAAACTTTGATTAATTTCTTATTTTCATTTCGGTTGGTTGTTGTATTAGATATGTAAATATATTCTTAGATATGTAAATATATTATAGTTAAATTATGTATAACTTAATATATATTATGCTTAAAATGAAATAACTAATAAGTTGAAGTGTTTGATTCAAAATTACATAAATGAATATAATGATAATATTTTGAAGTCTCATACATATATATAAATTCTACAAAATAATTAAATTGTAATTTGTTAATATTTTTTTTTTAATATGCTTTGAGTCAATCTCTAATTTATATGTATAAAATTAAATAGATTATTATTATTATTATAAAATTATATGTTCTTATTGTAGTTAGATGTTCAATTTTGGATATAAATTATATTAGTCGAATCATTCATTTTGTGAGTAAATTGAGTTAAATATATTTTTAAATTAAAACTGATATATAATAACTTTTTATTTTAGTTAAGTCAAATCAAATTAGTTTATATATCGCTTAAATATACATGTATTTTCATAATATTTATCATATTATATGTTGATTTCTAAACAAAAATTAGAAAATAAAATGTTACTGATAAATTTTTGAATGCTCATGAACATATATATTTTATTATTTTGAAAATATATTTTATGTTATTTAAAAATATATATTAATGTGGGTATTACTATTTTGTGAACTTTCTTTTTTAATAAAGTCATATTATATACATATATTTTCGTTTTTAAATTTGTTTTAAAATTTTAGAAATATTTTCTTTTTATTTTATATGTTATTTGGAAAAAAGATAAAAAGGAAACTAAATAAAAAAATTAATAATAATCTTAAAATCTAACAATTCATTAAGGGTATCTATGTAATCAACCATCGCGAGAGTTAAAGTGAACGCGACACGTAGAAAACTGACTTCTCAAATAATATTATAGAGATTTTTTATTTGTATTTTCCATATTTTAGTGATTTTTTTATTTTAATTAAAGACTAGGTGTTTTGCCCGCACATGCGGGCTTGATTATTTTTAAGTCAATTTTACAATCATTAAAATAAATAATTATTTGCATCTAAAAAAATTCGACCTAAATCGTTCAACTTTTTTTTACATGATAAAGTTATTTACAAATTAAAAAAAAAACTATTTTTCTTTTTAAACTTTAAAAAATCTAAATTGTATTTCATTTTTTCTTAATTGATAAAAAATATAGAAATCTATCTTTCAATTTTAAAAATTAAATCAATAAATATACACTCAAAATTGATCTTACAGAAATAATAATATTAGTTTTGATAATAATACAATATACTTAAGTTTAATTTAGTCAAACACGTATTTTCTTTCTTTTCTTTCTTTTTGAATGATCTTTTATTTTATTATGATTAATTCATGTTTAAGGTTTAACTATATAAAATATAAAAATAAATATAATTTAACGTGTGAGTTTATAGGCAAAAAATAACTTCACAAATATATATATCATAATAATATATTATTGTATTTTTAATTTGAAAATAATTACGTATAATGAATTTTTCAATTTTCTCTTCTTAATTATATACAATTAAAAAGTTTTCTTTATGAATATTTATTATGTATCTATATGTTTTTGAAATTTTTATTAAAATATATTTTTCGGATAACAACACAATATATAGAAATTATCTTTTTTATTTTTAAATATATATTTAGATTATGGAGAACTCTTATCCTTATTACTAAGTTAAATCATTTATCTAATCAAATAAATATTAAATTCATTTTTGGTTTTAGCTGATTTATATTTTATTCATTAAGGGTATAAACGATATTAACCACTTCAATTTTTAACGTGAGAGCTCCGTTGCGAAAAATCACTTCGCAAATAATAGTATAGATTAGTGTTGAACCCAATTTTGGGAAGGAACCAAATGGGTTCAGGCCCATACGTCGTCATTAGCAACTCGGCCTGCGACGAACTCGACAAGATCGAGTTGATATCCCGAAGATAGCTGACGGTTGAGAGGAATCAACCAGAAGAGAGTTATAAAAGAAGTACGAGGGCAAAGAGCAAGGGGGGACGGAAAACCCTAGAGCTTCTGATTACTCACATCGATCTCGTTTCTTTAGTCTTAACTTGTTCTAGTTTCGATCTAACTTTGTTATCTCTGATCTCAATTACTTCTTTGTATCAAATCCCATATCAATAAAGTCCATTTTTGTCAACTGAATTCCGATTATATCGTTGTGTTCTAAGAGCATCTATGCCACTACAAGAATGATTGAAAATAGCAAAGGACTGGCGAAGACATTTCCGTAGCCATAACTATTAGCGATGAAAGTTGCGACAGATAGCGACAAAACAAAAATATATTAAATTTGTAACTAATCTGTAGTGATTTATAGCTAACTAGCTACGAATACCGTAGGCATTCTCTAGCTAAATAACTACTAATTAGCGAGGAATAAATTGTCGCCGAAACATTTATATTTCGAAGCACATGGCTATATAATATGTATGTGTTATATGTTTGGAATTTTCATTTGTGATATATGTTGAAACTAGTAATGCTGGGATAATATGTATTTGTGTTATATGTTTGAAACACTTATATTTTTATGTTTATTTTGTTTGGTTGATACTTGAGTTAGAGATTATAGTATATGATTTTGATTTTAGAGATGTGTGGTTTAAGGCTTATATTTCAATTCTAAACTTAATTCCAAACTATAAAAATGATAAAAAAAAAAGTTACAATTAATTAATGATGAAAAAAATGAGGAAATGCTATCATTGATATATCAAGAAGGATGATGTCAAAAAAGAAAAAAAAAATGATATATCAAGAAGGACAAGGATAACTATCTTAGGGTTAAAGTTTTAGGGGTTACACTTTAAAATATGAAATTTATAGTTTAGATGACGAGAGGATGATATTTGGTTCCAGTTATAAATCTGGCTCCATAAAATTGGCTCCAATAATATTTTGGGTTTTGGCTCCAATTCATTTTGCCCAAGTTTATCATTAATGCACAAAAGTAACAAGTCTCGACAGTGAGGACTATGTGACTCATATGCTTGATCTAGTAAATGATTGAGTAGTTATTTATTTGTTAATAGAACTATGTGACTCATATGCTTGATCTAATGATCCTTATTGTCTAGTAATTTACTCTCTCGTTTCTTTCATCTGGTTTTGTAGATAGCCAACATATAAAGGTATGTTGTTTGGACTTGGAACAACACACATAGACAGTTAAGATCCCATTAATCCACTAGCCATTGTTTTCACTTTTCAGGCTAGTAGGAGCGAGATTTGATCAATCTGACAAGAGCTGTCAACATGGTGAGCAAGCAACTGACTCTTTTATGTGAAGCTAATGTGTCACAGTACCACCAATACCAGAATCTGAGAAATCACATTATACATGGTGAGCAAGCAACTGAAGTGGCAGCTACGTCCGACTCTCCTCCATCCACTCCCCATCGCCAACAAGAAGAGAAGCAAAATATGGCAATCAACAAACAGACAAACGAGTATGATGTCTTCTTGCCACAGCTTGAATTTTTGTTATGGTTTTAGCTTTCACTTATTAGTTTAGCTTCTTGTTTGTGTGCTAGAAGTTAAAATCGACAATTTTGTTATTTATGATATTTTCAGATTTCTTATAATAATATAATGTTTTAAAATCGTTTATATAGTCATTTTTTTTAAATAAAGATTTGTTCGTTGATAATTTCAAATCCAGCATTTGTAAC